GAGGAATATAGTCTCTCTCTTCACGGATCTTTTTTTTTTATTTTTTATTTTGAAAGCTCGTTCAGAACAGGAAAATGGTCATAATTCATTTGGCTTTCGCAATGCAGTCTTTGGTTCGCATAAAAAGTGAGTGTTTGTTTGGTTCAAATGAAATTTGTTATTAAGCAGCTGAGAATTGCAATTGGCGACTTCAATAATTTTTTTCTTTCTTTCTTCTCCATTATGCCAACAAAGAGGTCAGACAATTAAGTCCATAATGCGTACGTTGTGTATGTGTTGTGTACACGAACGAAAGAGCCGAGAGTCAATGCAATCAAGTATTGTGACAAGAATTGTGATGCATTCTTGTCGCCAAATTTGACATCGTTTATATACGTCTACAACGAGTACGATGTACAGCTCATCACAAGCAGAACAAGTCCATCTCCGGCAAGTAAGATTTTGCAATTGCAAATCGAAATGTTGCATTAAATCGTCATATTCATTGTAGAAAATGGGGAAATAAGATGAAGAAAAGAAAACGACATGGATCGTGCTTATTCGCATCTATTTGTACTTTCCTCTTTTTTGTCTCTCGCCTCTGTTTCTTTTCTTTTTCTTTTGTGTATCATTTAGTGTTTCCACGCAGATGAAAATAATAATAACAATAACAACAACAACATAAGCCATTCTCGTTTACTTAATAATTCAAGAGCTCCCGTTAACCAGATCATGTAGAAGTTTTTGATGAAAATACCAGGAAAAAGTAGTTGCATATATCGTGTGTATGTGCACACGATAGGCTATAGGCCAATCGTACTTAGAAGAGTATGAAACACCGACGACACGTAACTAGTCAAGCGACAGTTTCAAGCATTACTAAAAAAAAACAAAAGCAACAAATATGCGCACCGAGACAAGTGTTACTTTCATAGTGAAACGTTCTGAATTGAATGTGATGCATTGTTGGGTGTATAATTCTTTTTGATTGAACGCGTGCTCATCCATCCGTCCATCGATTGAGACGAGACGCGACGAGTTATATGTATTTGTAAACATGATCGCATCATAATAAATAGTTTTGACGTGTCTGTAAATTGTGTGTGTGTGTCTGTTTGTTTTCGATGTATGGTGTGTACTGTATAGAATGCAGTGCATCAAATTAGAAAATGTTTCGTCGAAATGTCATTTTGAACTGAAAGATGACGGCGACGACAACGTTATTATCTCTTGGGCTCTATTGCATTTTAACATTATTGCCATCATTTTTGTAGCTCGCTAAATATTCTCGATGTCTCTCTGTGTCCGTCTCACATTCGGTTTCTTTCGATTTAGAATTTGAAGCGCTTTGCCACTGAATTAAATATAAATATTCGTTCCAAGAATTCAATTTACACAGTAAACGAGTTAATTAAACCAAGAATTTGTGTTGTCATAAGACTAAGTAACATACATACATAGAGATAGACACACACACACGCGCACAACAACAACAAAAAACACCACCAGTGAATTAAAGTAAACACGTCGCTCAACTCATGCACGAGCACAAATCAACAAAGTCTTTCACATAATTTCTAGGTTTTTTTTTCTTCTGCTTTCTTGTGGACCGTTTTCATTTGAAAAACCAATTTCGGTTCAGTTGTAGCAATAATCAGCAATTAGCTTATATGATCCTATAGACAAGATGAATCAAAACACACCATTCACTCGCAAGAACGATAAATAGAATAGAATTTGTGGCAAATAGTAAATGTAAAGCGGCCACGTGTTGGCCGAAAATATTTCTTTTTATTTTCAATTATTTTTTATTTGTATTTATTTGAAAAAATTGGAGCAATCTGTGGCCTATTTCATGTGTCACACACGTATCGATCTCTATATCATGCAGTAAAGAATTGAAATGTATGTTCATTTTGTGCCACTTTCTTTTTTCAACAGGCAACTGTTTTTCATAATTTTTTTTTCATCTCTCTCTCTTTCTTTCAGTGCATTTTATTGTATATTTCACTTGATCGACGATTTTTCACATGTAAAGTGATTTATGTACGGCGATTAGCATTCAGTAGGTTTTAGCTTTGGCTAGTTAGTGGCTAAATTGTTGCATAAAGGGACATTTTTTGCAGAACAGCCTGATATAATCTATACTCTCGTTACTTACGTAAAAAAAAAATTGATGTGCATAGCCAGAACGACAAGACTGATCGTCTTAAGCCAGATTTGGCACACACAATCAACCATGTGTCCAGACGGTTATGGATTTGGATCGAACGAATGAGAGAAAAAAAAATATGCACACACAAACAAAGTGTTTAAAAGTGCATTTATCTTAAGTGCTTGTGTAACTTGTAGTTTGAAATCTTTAATGAATCGCTCGCTGTGCGTTTCTATTGATAATGGTGTTGGTCTATGAAAATCAATTGGTGTGGGATGCAATTTAGCTAGGCCTTACTGATTGCACATTTGCATATTGGCTAGCAGCTGATAAAAAGAAACACACACACCACAAAAACAACGTCGACAACTATCGTTGTGAAACAATTTAAGTCATAATTTCATTATACATTATGCAAATTTTGTTGTCACTTGTGATCCACAGTTTAATAAGTTCATTAAAATTGCCTTTTGAAATATGCATACAACCGTTTAAAATATGATACAATGGCACTTTCTATACGTGGCTCACACGTAATTTTGGTTTGAACTCGATTGCATGGACCGTTGGCTACTTTGCATTCGGATTTACCCAAATCATGTTAATTTCGTTTGTTATCAACATTAGCTAGATTATCCGTCATTGATCTGACTGAATCAAATCACGTTTTATTTTATAAATACTTGCACAATCTTCAATTGAGAATAAATACACTGTTTTGACACGGAAGCAGAAATATGATATGTTATGACTAAACGAAAAGAAATATGTAGTTAATGCGATCATTCGGAGCAACGAGAGAGTAATGCAAGTAATATGATTGCATTGAACATGATCGATCGGAATAGGATCGATTATAGAGAGCGATTGCGAAGAAGGTAATAATTATCATTGGATATGAGTTTGTTTGATTCTTATGTATGGTGTTTTTGCCGACAAAAGTGTAATCTCTTTCTCTCTCTTCCAACATCTCGGATTTCTGCGTAATTTAGTTGTGCACGTACGCTTGAGTTTGTTTTTTTTTTTTGTAAAAAGTTGCTACGGTCTTTCTGTGCTGTCGAACGATCGATCGACTTTATGCATATTATCCAATCGATGAGTCTAGGCAAATGCAGATAGCATCGATTCGACTCGGTGTGAATACAAAAATGCGCTTAATTTTCACTTGAAAAACAAAGCATGAGTGATCAATCGAAACTCTCGCAAGGCAGCTTGTAAACAACCACTCATGACACAGAGTATTGAACTGCAACGATTTTTTTCTTCTTCTTCTTTTCTTTATTGGGCTGCTATGTCGACGAATTAATATATTATTAAAGTCATCCCTAATCTTATTATTTGATTTATGATGGTGTGGCACGGTGACGTTTCTCAAACCATCAGCATATCTTTTTTCCTTACCAAAGCGACCAATAATAATTGGCCTCAATGCAATTGCCATAATTCATTTATTCGGATAAAAGGATGAATTAAATACGTTTATGTACGCGTATTTCTCTCTTTTTATGAGATGTTTATATGACCCATATAAAAGCGAAAATATGAAAACCACAGACAACAAAACCAACAGAGCGCACGAAAACAGCAACGGAAGAAAAAAAGTCGGCTCGAAACGCATTTCGAGCTTAAGCAATCGTCATTCATATATGTGTCTCGTTTGGGTTGTTCGGTGTTAACCGTTGACTGTTGTGATTGGCATAATCGTTGTTGTCTGTTTTACCAAATATGGCCATAATACTACTCACGGTGTGCCCATCTTTCTTGTTGTGTTGTTCTGGACTACTACAAATCACGCATGCATTAAAAATGAAATTCGATTTGGATTGGATCAGTTTGAATTGCAATGTAATTTATTCGCTTTTATTATTGTTCACACCATTTTAAAATCTGATATTAGTGCCACCGCATGTTCCACGACATAAAGAATTTTCATTTTTGGACATTTTGTAAACATATGTTTTTGTATTATTATTTTTTGTTAATCAGCACACAATCCGAATGTAATGACGACGAAGCGCATAAAATAAAATGTGCTTGAGATTTAACGCTTTTCAGATGCAAAGAGGGCCGAGAGGGAGACGAAAGAAGAGAAAAATGGCGATGTTGACATGTTTATACATAATTCTGGCTTATAAAGTGATTTGTTTTTCACTTTACATGTTTTAAATGAATATTACGACATGAGGTCAGCGATTTCGCCAGTACCGTTGAAAATGAGAGAAATGGGAAACTCATTGACGTAGATGCGACTAAATGAAACTGACACTCGGTCAAACAAGACGATTCCATTATGCAATTCGATTTGATCATATAAAAACGATGCACACGCAAAATGAGTGAAAACAAAAACAGTTAGAAATATAATTGAGTGCATTTCAAATGATATGACAGCGGCATACACCATGAAATATGTGCGAAACAGAAACGAATACAAACAAATTCCGCACACAAGATGAAGTTGTTTTTTTTTAGAATTAATTTTAAGCAGTTTTTTTGCTCTTCGTGCGGATGAATGACTTCTAGCTGATCGTTGCCTATTCAAATTGATTGTTCTTGTTTACAGTACATTGAATTTCATATCCCTGAGATATCTAATCACCTTCTGGGTACATTACAAGCGAAAAACTTGTTAATGAACACATATGACAAAGCAATTAGCTTCCTTTTTCTTCTCTTCACTCGATTTGTACAAAACACACTGATGCATCACATTTATTTTTATAAGACACAAAATGGAAAGAACTAGAAAAATGAAATTTCGAGAGAGAGAGAGAGAGAGAGAGAGAGAGAGAGAGAGAGAGAGAGAGATAGACGTACGTAATTCAAATAAACTGTTAGTATGAGTCAAAGAATTACATGATATTGTTATTTTGCACAAACGCACAAGTTGCAATGATCGTGCTAAATCATTTATTCACCTCTCGAATGCACATTGTAATGCAAAATTTATCGCATGACAAATAAAAATAAATTCATGAGAATTATTGAACAAACTGAATTCCGTCGATGTGTAAAAACTTGTATGAGTAATTACTTATTGTTGCGTTTTGCGATGAGACTGAAAACGACGAGAATGTTCAAAGAAAACAAATCCAATTTAGCGGCTGGAAAGTACAAACACACACACACACACACACACACGTACAGCTGTAGCAAATATACGACATGCCGAGCAAATATAACGGTAGAATCCTGATTACGTTCATCATTTTTGGTTGTGTCGTAAATTTGTGCGTTGTTTATTTTAAGTTTATAGCAGTTACAATTAAGCAATCAGAACGACAAAAGAATTCGATTCGACGTTCACGCAGTAACAACGATCAAAAATTACATTTGGAATTGGAGAAAAAAGAAAGATTAAAAGCCGAGCAGAGTAAAACGTGTAAAAGACCATACAAGTTGCTGCATGAAAAAACAAAGTTTGTCGTCTCTTCTTTCGGCTTGTTCCAAAATATTGGTAGCTCATCGATTGAACGGAATTAAATATTCCAACTGCGTAAATATGAGTGGCGAGAAACGACCGAGAATGATCAAATACTGGTTGCATTTGTGATATATTCGCTGTGTATATCCGAGAAAACAGTTCTTTTTTTGTCGTATTTGTCTTTTAAATTGTTACAATGAGAGCTATTTATTACTGCACTTACTTCGATCTTCATGTTCGAATTGAAATTGCCGGTGAATTGTGTTGATTTTAATTTCAATAAATTTACGAACTTAATCGTCCGAGAGGGAGAAAGGTTCAATTCGATAACTTTGATAATTTATATTCCAAAAACGTTTTTCTTTTTCAGTTAAGAATAATAGACGATTATGTCGAGTGGACGAAACAACAAGTGACAAATGAATGAAAGAAGAAAAAAAGTCGTGCAATATTTTTAATAACATCATATGTAAGAGGAAACCGACTCGTTTCATTTCACTTAATTAATTTTTTTTTTTAAAGATTGATTGTGAAACTTTTAAATAAAATGAAATTACTGATACCAACATTTGTGAGCCGCTTTATTTGCTTGTATGTTTCATTCTTCGTAATTTTTTTCTTTCGTTTCTATTTCGGTTTATCTTTGTGTAACGGACACACACACACACACGAAAAAGAAGAAAACTTGTCGTTTCAACCAATTGTTTTGCTTTATGCACGATGAGTCGTGGATTGTGCGTGACATCAAACGGCGGAACAAAAGCAGAAATTAAATGGTTTTGTCATAAATGTTTTCTTTCCACGGCATTAACATCTTTGCTTGGCTATGTGTGTTTTTTTTACTTCTACCTTCTGTGTATTGTTTACAAACTTCATCGTTCGGTACTGTCTACGAGAGACCATCAAATTGAACTTTTTATGCGTTTTGTTCCCTGCACATATTACAATATGACCCGAAACGCGTATTTGCCTTTCTCTCCTGGTCTCAGTCTGTCTTAAGCGATTCACAGCAAGATAGCTTGAGCAAAATGGTTTTGCAAGACAAAAATGGAAAGAACATGATAGTTGAAAGAAAGATGCCATCCAATTACATTGATTCTACAGATAATTAAATTCAAATTCGAATTCTAAAAATTTGATTATGAAAACATGTCATCAATTCATCAAAGCTGGAACAAAATAATCTGAAAATGAGTGTCAATATAAGCGTTTTAAGCAGAATCGTGCTACTTAAGCCAATATAGACCTGCTGTGAATTTTACAGCTATACATATTTTGAGAATGGCTCAAGATGCCGCCCAAATTTTTCTTTCAAGTTTAATGATAATATTATGGTGGCTGAACTGAATCTCTCTCACATGCAAACAATCGACATATGCTGCTGTCGATCCATTTCACTGAGCACCATCACATACAAATACAAAAATCTGCATTAATTTAATATATTCGAGAAAAAGCGTGCTATGACTGAACATTTATTGTTCGAATCTTCGCGCACATTCCATTAATTGTAATGTAAATAAAAATATATTTTTTATTTTCTGTTGATGGTCTGATGATTATGAGTGTTATGACCATGTTTTTATATATATTATATATTCGTTACTGTTCGGTTGTGGCTATTATTAATGCGTGGACAATTTTTAAAAAAATATCAAGCGAGAGAGAAAGATATTTTGCGTTGTATGTGGATTTTCTCTTTCGATTTGTAATGGCTCATCACGTAAATTGCATGATGTCAGCGTGTGGAATGCTATATCTTGTCGTCAATTGCGTTTCTTCAGCTTTGTCTCTTTTTAATACACCGTCGCTTTCGCACTCCTTCTACAAGATTGTTAATGATAAACTAGTGTTTATCACACGCTCGCTATTCTCTCTGTCTCTCTCTCCATCTGTGTCTATCCAGTGTATGTATAAAAGCGTGTTTTTTGTGTAAATGTTTTGCTGTTGATGTTTTTTTTGTGCCTGTTTTTATTCGAAAAACATTTTGTACGTTTAGTATGTTTGTAGTATATACACAATTCATTCACATATTTCATCCGAAGATGATTGGGCAGACGAAGTCGCTGCTGCTTTAACGTGTGCATTTCTCTGTTCGTCCATTCGTTGCCTCTTGTTTTTTTTTTATCTCTTCATAATTACAGTGACTGTAATACAGTCGCAAATATTTCTTTTTTCTTGTTTTCCATACACACACAATGTTTCTAATTCAATTAGGCTTATGCAGATTTCATTGTTTCAAAGCGACCATAATCGAATAACGATATAACATTTTTGCCATAAAAGTTTTCAATAAAAACCATCTTCATTCCATTTGAATGGATCGCGGTTGCAGCATGTTGTTATTTACAACTACATTTTTCCTCTCCTTGCTTTTTTCTCATCGCTTCAATGACCGGTTCAGTGGTTTTTGCTTTCTTTGAACCGCTGTTGCAGCAATAACAGAGAAGAAAAAAAAACATAACCGTGTTAATAACACTTATAAAATGACAATTGGATCGATCGTCGATGGCAAATTTAAATTCGATGACATCGAATATGCGCCAGTGAAACAATGATAATAAATCACAAGTTGAATTTACCAATGATTCACACTTAAATTTCATCATACTGTTGCAATCTCAAGTTTTGTGATTTTGAAACGTGCGAACTGCACGAATCTGTATATTTTTATTTATGGTGCATCGTGACTCGCTTATAATTCCTTTACGGAATTTTATGTCTTCGTTCGGTGAACCAAAAATTGGGCCACTGAACACAATCAACTCCCAAAAATAGCGCGCGCACACAACCAGCAAACACACGAAAAAAACGAAATTAGAGGAATCCAAATGCGTTACTTGTTAAATAGCAATTTCTTCTCGCATTCAAACGAAAACGAAGAGAGAAACGTCTCAAATTCTTCAATCTTGTGAAGTGCGTTCAATTTTCTCTTATGCATGCGTTTAATTTTTGGGTTTACATTCATTTTTAAACGAAGAATTTTCTACCGAAAATATCAATGTGGAACAATTTGTCAAAATTTCTCTTCTAATTCCATCTGAATTATTTTTAAGGCCGAAAAAAGTCAAAGTTGATGATAAAGTCAACAGTCCAGAAAAAGAAGTTAATAGAATGTAAAAGATGGAATTTGTTTACAACAACAAAATAATTTCGTTTAAATAAATTCCGTTTTATTCAAATGAGGGAAACGCTAAATGATAGAGTAAAAAAAAAACTTCCACCAAATATAGATACTTAAAAATTGAATCTCAACCATTCATATGTCAAATGATAGTAAAATAGGCGACGCATGGAATTTGTTTCTGTTGAGTCTTGAACTGGTGTTAATTACGCCAAAGTATTTAATTTGTTCACAGATTCATAAAATGCATTTGAAAAGTCGCCTTTGGCAAATCATGCTTGAAATAAAACAATTTTAAAATAATTAAAATGCCATTCAATTTATTGTTTTGACAATCAATATTTTTGTTTCGTTGCGACTGGTTACGATTCATTTGAAAATATTCGCAGTGACAAAGACCCCGTGGAATTATTTGAATTTGTCTTCTCTTTTTTTCAAGTAAAAATATATTTCGTTCTGACATGAAACAGAAAAAAAATACCATGTGTTGAAAGCAATAAATGTGTGTATAGATATGAAGAAGGTATTACGCTCTATTTAACCAGAACTTGCAATGTTTACACTGGGCTTCCGCCAGTATTTAACAATTCCGCCCGTATTTAAACGATTACACGTCACATGGTGTCGTTTTGTGCGATAAACAAAAAAACTAAGACGTCGTCCGAAACACACAAAAACAGTTAATTGCGATAACAATAGAATATAAATACAAGAATGTTTCGTTACAAATAAAACAAAAATTAATTGGTTGCCATTTTGTGGCGCTGGTGAAAAAACGACACACATACACACACCCGCGCGCTAAGATAATTTACTTCAATCCAACTTTGTCAAAGAGTCATTGTACTAGGTGGAGATATGTATAATACTTGCTATTTCTCACTCTGTTATGCCCACAAACAATCGAACGATAAAAAAGCACCAAATTCAAATGTGATGGTGATTCAAATTAAAATGAATTTGCACAAGATTTCGACTCGGACATAAATTTTCGAGTAGAAAAAAAATATGCGCAATATTGAAACATTCAACCCAGAGGCCAGGGTCAATGGTTTTTTTTTTAATTTACGTTGACAGAAGTTTATTTTATTGACCATTTTCCTTTCGGCAATTTATTAATGCAGTGTGATGCTCCAGATTGGTTTTGGTACACTTTTTATCTCCCTTGCCTTTTAACAAAGGTCAAACCACAAATGCGATGCCAATAGCTCTAATAAATTGAATATTTAATTGCAATGTGATCGTACAAGATTTGAATCGGATGCTGTATGTTATGCGTGTGTGTGTCTTCTGATGATGATTTGCCACTTTCAATAATTGCCTTCCGTTTGTTACAATTTTCGTGTTGTTTTTTTACGCTTCGTAAATCATAGAATAGACCAGAGTCTAAAGTGACCATTTACGTGCGTGAGCCTCAGGAAGAAGTGACCTCCAATGAATGTGTTACTGTGTCATTCAAAAAATGTGGCACAAAAATTAAATTACGCAGCGATTTTTCATTCCCTTGACCGTTCCCGTTTTCAATTCTTCGTTTTTCAAAAAAAAAACACGCATGTAGACACTTATATCTCGGAATTGGATTGTGATCTTACATCATATATTATATCTATTGTCTTCGTTCGGGTTCTACGGTCACTTTACAGATGTGAACAGACTCTGTTCAACAGAGTAAGAGAGAAGCTGTTGAATGTTCCACAGTGTAATTAAATCGGATGTGTCATATATTCAACTTTGTGTAACTTGTCATTAGTTGTTTGTGTGTACTTTTCTTCATTTCATAAGAAAAAAGCATCATCAGTATAGCGACAACAACCATTCTTATATTAAAACGGTCTGTTTAAGTATTCAATACTTTTTTTCAATCGTTCTATTACAATAATTCTTTCCATTTTTCTATGCTGTGGCATTGACAATCGAAGTGGAATACACGTGTGTATTCTTTTTTCATTCTCTCATTTGTTGAACTGTTGAGACAGCTGTTCAATTTTATTACTAAGCTTAGACATACACTCTCTCCGAGAGCGGCAAATATTTTAAATGCTAAGTGCGTGCGGCTACTTGGATTTATTTTTCTCAATTCTTTTAAACATTCATAATAAATCCTGTGGTTTCATGTCCACAACCAATGTACAGCAGCGCTATTGCTTTCATATAAAAAAAAACGAAATTCTCAACGCACAGAAAAAGTGGAACTCAGATCAAAGTGAAGAAAAAAAAAATCAACTGCATCGAACGAACTAGAAAATGAGAGAAACAAAGAAACAAACCCGCCAATGTCAAACTTTAAAAATTGTGTACCGTTCTGTAAACGGAAAGATATCTTTACAAAATAGCTGCAAGCTATACATTTGTTGTTTTTTTGTTATACTTTATTTTGCATAATGTTTTGGCACACGAACACTGATCGGCCGAGCGAATGACTTCAACGAAAGCGGTCAAACACACAAACCCCGACACACACAAATACAAAGAGAGAAAGAGCGAGAAAGAGATGCGCCCTTTAGGTTGCTAGCGCACTCATTTCCAATCAGTTTGATTTTCGTTTGTGTGTGTGTGCGTTGTTTTCGGTTCTGTGTAGAATATTCACACTTGACATCTCCGGGATACAAAACAAATTTGTGCGCCAAATAAGTAACAATTGCGCTTTAGCAAACAGTCACAATCTGAATTCATAATCATCGCATCAACAGCATTTTTTTTTTATTTGTTTGGACTTCGTGTGAAAATTAAGGAAAAAATAAACAACATCATAAGAACAAGAAAATAAATAAAATCAGATCAAATATCCCGAATATTTTGTGCATTTCGTTAAATCGTTAACATTTCGTCGTTTACGGAAGAAATTTTTTTATTTGTTAATTTGTTTTCTGCGGATTATTATTTTTTTTAAAATTATTTTCGTTCTAATTCCTGTTGACAATTCTGTTATTGTTTATTTATTATGACTTCGAACAACATTAATTCGCAAACCATGAATTTGAATGACGATGTTGAAGAATATTCGTTAAAATGGGAATATAATGTTGAAAAAATATTGAAACAATCAACCGATTTTGATTTCACTGCCAAGAACAATGGCGTCGAACATAATTCAGGCGGACTCACATCGGATGTTTGGAATTTGCAAAATGGTAATTTATTCATCAATATTTTAAATCAATCGGTGAATGGGTTTTTTGGGGAATCTTTTTTTTCTTCAATCATTGACACATGATATATTTAGCGAACTTTTGTATGCCATGGAATGGAATAACGGCAAACGTTGAAGCTCCAATGCAACAGTACAATGAATGCTTCAACAAAAATTCAGCATCAGCATTGTCATCAAATGATGTAAGTGTAATTTTCCACTTTTCGGAGAAACAAAAAAAAAATCAAACGAAAGAAATTTTGTTTTAATCTTCCATCATTCACGTACAGTTGGGCTCTTTTGGTTATAACAACAACTGCAATTGTAATGCTGTACCCAATTTGGTTGAACAAACACCCGATTCATTTACATCGTTGGATCCGATTTGGTCATTGACAAAAGGTAATGAGTTTTAACTATATGTGATACACCCATGCAGTTTGCATTGTATCTTGTATCGTAATAGATATGGAAAACCTTCGTCAGACATGGAACACCACGGCATTGGATTCAGTACCAATACGACAGCACGATGAACTCATTGCCAACCAGTGGTACACGCAAAATCAATTGTCAACCAACGATGTATGTTGTAGATTATTTGGCGCGCAAAATTTTTGTACATATCAATTGATTTGTGTTTAATTTGTCGATTTTCATTTTGTTTCATTGCACAAACAACAAAATATTGGAAAAGTCAAATAATTTCGGTTGGAAGAACAACACCTATGGTCTACACAATCTGTTCGATCAAACGGCAATGGATGACCTGGCAAATAAAATTTTGCAATTGGCAAATGGTAATTAAATTAAAGAATGGTTTGATGGTGATTATGGTTTTTATTAAACCAATTTTAATTTCGTTTCTCATTTAGTATATCTGAGCTGCAAAAGTGACGCAGCCACAGCATTAGCAGTTCCGCCGCCGCCAATAGTAGTGCCGACACAACATCAAAATGACCGTGCTACCAAACAGCGGTTCTCACAACCCAAATTGAATGTCAATGACGTACGTATATTTTTGGCACTCAAATTTTGGATCGTTTCAAATCGATTAATGTTTGTTTTTTTTTGTTCTTTTACATTTCGTCGCATCCGGTATATTTGACACAAAGTTTTGTGCATTTTGTAAGAATAATGGCGAATTCGAGCAAGTATACCGATCGCATAAATTGAAAGACAATCGAAATCGGGTGCGTTGTCCACGTTTACGTGTATTCAAGTGCAGCATTTGCGGTGCCACTGGCGATTATGCGCACACCATTCGATATTGTCCATATCGTAAAATTCAAAGATTTGAGAGCATGTGATTTGAAATCAACAACATTCAAATCAGTATCGGTTGCGATAATTACGTTATTTTTTAACGGCAATGAATGTCGTTTTATCATCATCCGAAAATTGTAACTACTTAAATAGAAGTAGCAGTTTTTTTGTTCGTTTTATATTATTATTATTATTATTTTTATTATTACTTTCGTTTGAAAATGAATTGCATTTTTTTGTATTGACAATGAACCCGAATATCACAAATAAAACATAAAAAAATTGAATTGCATATTAAATAGACGGTCGTTTTTCTTTAGATTTGAGTCGGTTTCTGTGTTTATGTTTGAGCTTCACGCAACAACGTCGATGCTAACACACATTGGAATGACTTGGAATTATTGACAAGAAAATAACAATACAATAAATAGTATAAACGGTATTGGGCATACATTTTTGTGGCTGTTGCATTTGGTTTGAAAGGTTCTCTCACATACATTACAAATTTGGTTAATAAATACTTCAGAAAAAAATGTTCCATGAAAGATATCTTCTTTTCAGTTGATGCGACACAGCCATGCTCTGTAATAATTAAGCTTAATTATTTATTTTTCATTTAATTTCTTTTTTTTTTTTTGTTGTTGCTTTCCAATAATTTTCTCTGCTCTTCATTGTGATATTGTGTGCAAACGAGTTTGGAATTGTCGTTACTTGTCGATGTATTTCGAACGGAAGAAAAGATGAAAAAAAGAGAAGTGAAACATTTCAATTCCAGTGAATTTGTAGTTCTTGGTCGATGAAACTGTGAATGAATTTTATCTGCCCGAAAAGCAACGGCAACAATAAAAAAATACAAATCCACATAAATAAAATTAGTGCTGAATGGAATATGAAAAATACATAGTGTTTGATATTCCAAATCGAACAAAAAACACCGTCTTTATTTGGTAAAAATTCGGAATGGAAAAACAGCAAAATTCAATTAGCATTACAATTTTGAAGCTAATTTCTCTTCTTGAACAATGCAAACCACGACACACACACACACACACACACACACACTGAAAGAGAGAGAAGCTATTTGCCGGGGAGAATATAGTCGAGGAAAAAAAACTACGTATACAAAACTGAAAAGGTAGAAAACATGATACAAAAAGAATGAAAGCGCAAACGATTGAAAGATTTGGGAAAATGTGATACAACGTGAAAACGTAATGAGCCGACATGCACATAAATTAAGAAATAAAGGCATTGTGAGGCTGGAATTGGATTTAGTTGATGGGTGTTGTTGAAAAATTAAATTGGCAAACTAAGCAAAGTTCATGCTATGGAGGAAAAAGTCGTGAAGTAAAAGTTGACACATCGAACGAGTTAATGGTAGAAAAGAAAGACAACGAGTTTTGTAAATGAAGATCGCGCGCGATTGAGAGTGAGATGCGCTCGCACTACACACACACACACATAAGTATATCTTTTTTACCCAAATTTGTACTTTTGTTCAGTACCCCAAAAAACACTTAGTTTTCAATTACAAAATTGAAGTAGTTTTTTGTATAGATTTGTACATTTGGTGGCACCAGTCATCTCGTCATCATTCAATCATTTAATATTGACGTTATTTACAGTGGTGCTTTATGCATCAATTTAACGCCAAGCTACGATGATGGTTTATTACTTCCTCTATCATATAAATCATCTAATAAAATCAAATGAATTTTATGTTTATCGATTTGCATTGACCAAACAAAATAAAACGAAAGTTAACAAATGAAAAACAATTTGAAAAAAAAAAAACAAATCAGATAATAGATTCGCGGTTAATTCATTACATTCAATCAAATAAAGCGTAGAGAAAATTAAAATGAAAATATTGTCAACAAAATGAAAGCAAATATCGCAAAAACGATTTTGTGGATCTTTCCTCCTCTCTTTCGATGTGAACACAATGGGATTGAGAAAGCATCGGAAGTGATGACTTATTTTTCTTTCGTTTTTTTTATTGTCGTTTTTTTACCGATATTTTGTACCATTGTATAATAAGTTTCATGAGTTTTTGTGAATTACAATCACGCAAGCAGTGGTTGACAATAAAAAAAAACGTAAAAAAATGGTTTGCTTTTACCGCGGTGGATTTTTAAAGCAGTACGAAATAGATGCAGATGAAAACGAGCTGAAGACATTAAAATGATACCATTCAAAATTAATTGAGAAACTTACATTTTGGCAATTATTATTAAATTTTCAAGCCGGTGTGGAATAGAGAGACGAAGACCTAGCAAATTAATGGCATGGCATATGAACTTATTACGTATTAATGAATAGTTCTACAAATTCTCTATTTCTCTTTGTCTGCACGGGTACCGTTTGAAATGCGTACCTATATTCCGCAAAGTCATAAAGTAAAGCACATTTACACAGAATTTAATTCAGCACATTTAAATTTATTGCCTAGTTATGTAAATGTGCACCACCATCTCTCAATTTCTACACATGACCTGTATTCATCCTTTAATTTTTATTATTTTTTGATGTTGTTGTTGTTCAAGCAAAAATTACTATGCATACATAGCGCATCATATATACACAATTGGAGTGTTTGTTCGATGTACCGTTTATTTTTTGTTTCTCTTTATAATTTTTTTTTTGTTCGAGATAAGAGAGGGAGATCATTGCTAATAATAAAGCTGAAATTAATAGCGTGATTTTTGCATAAAATGAACACAAAAGATTGGCCCATCATCATGGTGAGCAGTTGTAATTTAAATTCTCATATCTTTTTGACATTATCAAACGTAATTTCTCGACTTTATGAGTCTAATTCGGCACGGCAAATTTATTATAAACCGTATATGTGTATGTTTTCTGCTACATACAAAGAGAAAAAGAGAGGCGAAACCATTGAAGGATGCAAGAATCAAGGTGTATACGAAAAATGCTCCAACAAAATGGTTGATTCATACGGAATTCATACCAACATATGTACACTGTACACTGTACAGTGTCATTAGAATTCTATGAATCTGACTAAAATTGCAATTATTGCTACGAAATGGAAATATTCCGCCCATAATTTAACAACCGTGGCTCATAAAAAAAAAATATTTATCAGTAAATTTCAATATCCACAATTGCGTGCTTTTCGTAATCAATGCTGATCGCTTGCTGCTGATTGAAATTCAAAAATCTTGAACGAAAATTATTCACAAAAGTAAAAACAGCAACAACAAAAATGTGAGAAAGGGCGTGCGGCCAATTAAAATTCAAATTATTTTATCATTATATGTTCAAGTGATTAAAATACACGAAGGTGATACGTAAATTTTATTTGCCCAAACCTACAAAAGTTGCACGGTTTGTTGTTATTTGATTATTTACATCAAAGCGATGACTAACTGTGACACAGATAGCAGACCACGATAAGTGATAAAATAAACTAAACAAACAAACAAAAGGAGGCAGAGAGAGAGAAAAGTACACATGGTTCTGTTCGCAAAATAGTTGACATATACAAAGGAATCAATAAATTGATGATGGCCGATGATCAATGAAAGGATTTTTTCCACTTTGACAATGGTATTTTTGCGCAACATTTCTATGCAAGATCGTCTGAAATTGATTAACCATGATTGATGTGCGACGACTGTAATTGATCTGAACCATAAGAAAAGGTCAATTCCGCGCAAAACGCAACCCGAAGCGTAGAAAATGTGTATTCCACAAAAATCGATCTATCCCATTCAAAACGAAGATTAATTAAATAAAATTAAGATAAGAAGACATTGAATTTCGCATTGGGCGTATGTGACCGTATGTGTTTGGTGGCTGAATGGTACATTGCTTAATGTGGCAAAGAATCACCACGAAGTTATGGCGAAAAGAATAATTGAAAAAAATAATAAATAAAATTAAATGTTAGATTATTGCTAAATCTAAACCCTGTTATGGAAGTGGCTTTTTAAGAGTTGCGCGTTTGAAATGGCATCCCATCTTGCATGCATTTTAAATCAAGATATAAGATTTTATGATTAGATTTAGTCATACACGTTCATTTATCGTTTTTTTTTTTGTACATATGTGCGCGATAGCGTTGTTTTCTTCTTTTTTTCTCTTCTCCTTCATAAGGCGTACATTTTTTTCTTCTTCTTTCGAATGTTGCGTGTGCAATCTTTACTTCAACACTCGACATAATTTCGTTTGAATTTTTTTTGTGTTCGTGTATGTGTGGTTTTTTCACACAATATGCAGAATTTAGCTGAGCCCGAGGATAGAGACAAGCATCAATGGGCCCTTTTCCGTTATCTTACAAAACCTATTTCCCAGAGATGGAGTCAACGAAAAACGTCAGCATTTTTTTTATGTATTTTCACAACACACGAACATTTTGGGACGAGATTAAGAGTGTGATGCAGCTCAATTTCACGTAAATGTGTGTGTATGTTTGTGCGTGTTTGTGTTTGGATGATTATGTCTATACTGAAATACAAACTGACTGTTAACAATCGATTTAAAAGCTTTGAAATAAAGAAAAAAAATCGCAGATAGAAGAGAAGAAAATAAAGAATCAGAACTATTTGCTTGTGTTGTGTCAAAATGAGGAATCAATCGACGAGACATGAACCGTGCCAAATCGTACGTTTCTGTGCACAACAAAAAAAAAAGCAAGAAAACTTCAATGATGTGTATATGATTTATCTTCAGAGGTGTTTCGGCCGAAGTGAACGAAAGAGAAATATATAAAAACAAAATAAAAGAATCGAAGAACACATCAAATCAGAATCAATTTGTTACGGGTCATTGCTCACCACTTATCTAATTATTGTATTAGAATTTTGCCAATTAGAGAAATTAGACTCGAATTCTCTTAACACGCGTATTCCGGCCTTTCAAATTATATGCTTTTCAGAAATTAACATCCTTTCGTGCGATTCGTTCTTCTTTTTTTTTCATACGGAATGTATGAACAAAAAATCAACCATTTCGATAAACCAACTAGACATAATTTAACGAACATGCTGTTCAAAATAATTTGTAAATTAAACAGTCGGCAGTTCTGATTGTTATGCCAATTTTTTATTCGTGAAGAAGATTTTTTTTTCTTAAATTCACTAATTAAAGGTATTGCCTATTAAACATAATCATTTTGAAACGATCGATAATCGATATAAACGTTGTTGAGAATGAAAAACTATTTTGTAATGAGCAAAAATTGAATTTTAAATCAAAAAATTGATGAAAAAAATTCCTGTCTTTTTT